GACCTGGGCAATTCTTTAATTTTGTTGTTGTTGATCAAGAAGAATCATTGCCCAGCAGTTTAAAACAACAGTTACACTTACAGAATCAAGAAGTATAGAACACACAAAGATATTTATAAGTACCCTGTGGGTGTTTTTCCCCTACAAGTTGAAGTTGTTGCAGTGACCCAACAAGATAAACAGTGTAGTTTATTCAGTGGTTTCTCAGTTGCAAATATTTAGCTTTGCTTGCAACATTACAAAATCAAACAGTGAATTCAGATCTGGACAAGACAAGTGAGTGGCCCATGTCAATTACCATAGTGTTGACACTTAACTTGCCTGGGTAGTTCACGAGAGGTCACAGGGTTTATGGCTGGACCTCCCCTGTACAAGGGCCAGATATTTACATCATGTCATCTTAGTTATTGGGAAAAAAAAATTTGGATTGGATTTGAAGGTTAACAAACTTTTTTTTTCTGAGTTATTGAGATTCTGAAATGAACCGTTCTTTGGAAATTCTGATGCATTTAGTACTTGTAGCGTGCATAACTGGACACAGTGACTTTGCTTTTCTGAGTCTTGGTTTTTTTATCATATGGAAACCCATTTGGGCCATTTATTTAGTGGAATTTCACAGTAGAAATATCTGGTTTATTAAATACATTTTGTAACTGTACTGGAATCTGAAAATTAAGAGATATCATTATAACGTTGGGAACATTTGATTCACATTTGTACCAAAAAATTTATCATTGCAGGGCTAAGAAATATGGCCTATTTTGTTTGGAGGGCAGGGACATATTGAGGGTGGGGTCTTATTCTGGAGGGGGTACTCTGTGGGGTTTACATGTAAGTAGATAGTTTGGCCTTCTCCAAATCCTGAGGGGGGGGGGGGGGGAGTGGAATCAAGGGGGCATACATGTAGGCCTTGAGCATGAGTAATTGTGGTTTAGTTAGTCTTTTTTGAGCTCCTCATTGTAGCTTAAGCTGTTTCAGGCCCTTCACATAATCGAAAAATATTGAAAAATGTACCCAGGTCCAACACGCAGATTTCGGTAACCCTTTCACACTTGCATAAGTAATGTCCATCCCTGTTTGGGACCCTGCCAGGTTGTGAGGCTCTACCTCGGGTAAAAAATCCGAAATCCACAGCCGACCCGTGTACACAATGATGCTAGTGTGAACGGTACACCTTGCCTGACTGTACGTGTTCAATGGAACCCGGTTCCACGTTACGGTGAGCCCTGTGTTGATATCAACACGGGTAGGCGAGATGCTAGTGTAAAAAGGTCTTCGGATGCAAAGGTACTGAACATGTATGTACATGTCATGTGAGCCAGTCTACACCAAGTGGCAGTGTATGGGATACTGACTGAGGACCCACTGGGATCTGATAATTAGGAAACATGAGAACATCACCGGTCCAAGGGTTCAGTTCATAACCTGTAAGGGAGAACTCAGTTCATTCATTGGTACAGGTAAAGGTACACTTCATGTTGCTCCTTCAGCTGTGATCATCAGGAAACATTTCGGCAGACTTTTCATAGTAAGATTCTTTTTAGAGAGATGGACTCCGTGCACAAGTACCCCCTCAACGGTTACAAAGGGAGAGTTGGGGGGGACCACTGGAAGGGACATTCAAAAAGGCATCGCCAACGACACCTGATGCTCATGCAAAGAGGTATATGGCTCTTTGCACATTCAGAATAAAATTATAATGTGGTTGTACATGTACGTACTTTGCGACATCCTCACGCAAGCTACATGTAGTACGTGCACGCAGTGTGTCCCATGTACTGAGCTCTCGAAGTGGTCAATAAGCGTTATCTACTATTCATGCACGAAGTCCATGTACATGTACATGAACAATATTTGCACATGTACATGTACAATATTTGCACATGTACATGTACAAGGTTGAGAATTGTACACACACTGGTATGTACAAGCATGGGTACCGGTACAGTGTATGTACACAACCAGAGTGACATGCTAGAGGAAAGAAAACAATCTCATTCTAGCCACAACTCACTTCCAACCCGTTAAATGAAAAAATCTTAAATTTTTATAAACAGACTTGCAATGTTTCCTCACGGATCAACTGATTTCTTCCACTTTTACTTCCCTAGAATGCCATTGCCAAGAGTCTTGTAAATTGTGGAATTTATCACATTTTGTGACCTCTCAGTTGCAGGCCTGGATAAAATTATAACTCTGGATGCTGATAAATAGCATTTTCAGGGTATCTGTGTCATGTGACCACTGCCAATAGCCAATCAGAGGTTGTCGCTTCATTACGTATTACGCCTAGTGGGGACGTCTGGTGACCGCATGCACTTCAGAAACCAAGTCAAAACCTGCTTTGAAAACCAAGCAAACGGGCTTGATGACAGACACCACTGCTAAGGGGTGCATGGAGGGGGTCTTATAGTCCCCCTTGGGTTAACCCTATTGTTCAACTGACATATTTCTCTTAAGAGTAATACCTTTCAGCATCGTTCCCGAGCCTGAACTTTCTCGACCCGCTTTCTGGGAAGAAGTGGGGTGACCCCGACTTAGTTCGAACAACTGGAGAGGATTATGGTTAAATTCTACTCGGGGATCGTTTTCAAAAAATAGGCTGCAGGTCGAGAGTGGCATGGGACTGCCTGCTTACTGGAATTCATGCATCCTTTGATCATACAGCTTGGGAAACTTTTTGCAAACTCTGCGGCAAAAAATGCCCGTAAGGAGGTTGTGCCTTTTCAAGACTTGCAGGTTTTGATATTGTCTCCTTTGTGTTTTTATTTCTTGCCAATATCTTTAATCTTGGATGTGTGATTTCCAGATTTCGATGATTGTTTAAAAATGTTTACATGGAGACTGGAGTTACATTCTTTCTTACATTGTGCTTTCTTATATCTTGTTTTCCACCTCAAATTGTGAGGCACGCGTGGTGGAGCACAGGATTCATGATCATGAGGTTGTGGGTTCAAGCCCCGCCGTGGCCATGCGTGTTGTGCCCTTGAGTAAGGCGCTTTATCTCAATTACTCCTCTCAACCCAGGTGTTAAATGGGTACCGGCATTATTCAATGCTGGGAAGGTAACAAACGCGCTGTGGAGGAGGTGTGGCGATCCCCCCACAGCAGCATAAGTCTGGCCCAATCGCTAACGAAAGAGAGATGGGCACTCCGTTCCTGTTAACAGGTTCGTCCCCTTTTAAATTGTGAGTTGTTGGAATAAATATGCATTAGTGTATAGTGATTTCTTGCAGGTGGTTTTGAATGCAAATCTAACCCCCTCTCCCCAAAAGCCCCAAACCAAAAATGTTTAAAATCAGAATATCCAGTAATACATATTGTAGCCAACCTCGTCTGGTGAGACATCTGCACTAGTACACAAGAGGTCGTGGGTTCGAGTTTCTCCCAAGCCCTTAGACAGCGCTGACAATAGGGTAAAACAAAATATTGAATATATTGTATTTGAGAGATGGACGGATTTTAGAATTTTTGCAAACTGACGTTTCTTTTTTTTCTTTTTCAAAAAATGCCTCCGTCCTATTGAGCAAAGATGTTTGTTCCTTTTATTCAAAATGCCTATCCATTTCATTCCTTGTGTGAAGTCATTAAGTTTTCATGGCTGGTTGGGTGTGAAAGGGTTTAAGGAAAAGGTCGTGGTCGTGACGCCCACTCTTAACATGTGAGAAAACTGCCTAGAGAAACCAATACGCAGCGAATGAATTTCTTCCTAATTGGTATTTAGTCTACGATTTCAAACCTCTCCCTCTTAAAGAAAGGAAAGCCTTCCTTATTCCAAATTATGCCACATGCAGTTGTTTTTAAAGTACAAACGTATACATGTTTTTATACATGAATGTTTGCCACCTGTACTGGGAAGTGTTTATTGTGCTTAATCGCAAACCCAGAGAAATTGTGGAATAACTAATGTTGAGCTTACTAATATCCCAGTAATAATATAATACCTCCACTTATGCTCCAACCTGTCAAATAAAGTGAGTTGCACTGTACATTCCTTCCTCCATGGTTACCGGGAAAATCTGTGCATTTACATACAGTAGTTTAGAAACTGTAAAACTCACTACACACGTCACCGTGTATTAGGCCCAAAAAAATAATAAGTCGGTCTCTGGTCAGCGCGCGCGTTGATTTTAATCATGCGCGTCGATCTTTTTTTTTTCCAAAATGTTCCGCGGTAGTTCCAACAGCGCCCTCTATTTCCGCACCTCAATTTTTTTTACCAAAGAGCACCAAGGAATGGGAAATTGCACCAAGGCAAATGATCGAAGCACCAAGGCAAATTATGCAGGACACCAATGTGTATGAGGACACCAAAAAAGCAAAATAGTACCCCACCTTGTCTGTACAATCCAAACTTGAAGAAAAAAAACTTTGGTCTGACCAGAGACCGAATATTTTTTTTTTTTTGGCCTTACTGGTAGTACATTTGTACAAAATTGTGTACGTACTATGTACATATGTATACATGCAAACATGTACTTTTACATACTGTAAGTATGCATATCCGTACTATGTTCTTTGCTCTATGCATACACATGCACATGTACTTGTACATGTGCACCGTACAAAACTAAAAATGTGGGTGAGTGACACTTCAGTCCTACATTTTCGGAGGTATCATATTTGCACATTTATTAAGAACAATTACACATGTACATGTACTGGTACATGTACTATGCACTGGTTTGAAATTGGAGCAGTACATGTAACTGTAATGTTATTGGACATTGACCTCTTCGACCTTCAAACACAACAGGTCTACACACCTGCAGACATGATTTTTGTGTTTGTGCAAATTGAGAGAGATTCCCCTACATGAGAGCACTCAGTCTCTGTTTGCTCAAGATTAAACTCTGCTGTGACTGGCCAACCCAACGAATCTGTATTGTTTGGTGTGAGTTGTGGCCCGCAACAGCTCCAACAATAGGAGAGGCGATTTTGATGATACGGGTTCCCAGCGTGTGTCATGCATTGTTACTCATCCTCAGTTCATAAAGACACACATGTGTGTTTATCTGTGTGGTCTGTGCATAAATTCATTCAACACATGGTGCAAGGGTTAGACTGGGAAGTTGTTATCTTGATTCGTGATAGGGCAGTTTGGTGGATACTGTGTACATGTACATGTTTTTGAAAAACTTATCATTTGGCATTATGAGTCAGTTTGGAGGCTGGGTTGAAAACGGAGACCTTTGTGTACATGATTTGGGTTTTGTCATCAGCAAGAACATGTAATGGTTTCAGCGCAGGAGTCTGGAACGGGACATGAATGATGTATGCGTTTTGTGTTATAGGGTGAGTAAAACACGTAGGCATACCATAATTTTAAACAGAATTTCTGATAGACAAGTCCTAGTGACCACACATAAAAGACATTATTACGGAGGTGACAACCCCCATGTTGCGTGCACGTTGCACATGCTCTTGAATTTGGTAAGTTGTAAACACTACAGTGTAAAATTGGTCAAAAGTGCATTGGCAATGATTGAGCATGTGCATAAGACATAAAACCTCATTAGTGACTTCTTCATGTTATTATGGCTTCCGGACAAGTCTACATATTTTGATGGTTTCTGCAGATATTGATGATCGGTATCCTCAACACATGTAAAAATGCTTGCAACTGCTTGGACAAAAATAAGCGTCCAAATAAATTTTGAGTTACCAAATGCAGTCTTTCAAATTCCTTTAAATTTTAATACTAGTCTTGGTTCAAAGACATCCTTGTGGTTTGGTGTTTTAGCGAGCACGGGTTAAATGGACTGTGCAGTGATTCACTGAAGCTGGCGCGCTTTATACAAAGGCCAACAAGCCACGTGCGGTTCGTCGATCGCGAGTCCGGTTCACGGATGGAAACATAGCGCCCTCTATCAGGCCAATATGCAACATGCATTCTGCTGCGTAGCGCAAAGGCTTTAACGTCTTCATGTATACATCGTAAATTACCCCACTAAGAACGTCTTGCAGTTAGATGGATAGAAAATTTCCGTCAGACTTTTGTTTTTCCCTGTGCATTTTCACAAAACCTACAAGTAGCGGTAAATGTCGCTGAAATGACAAATGCAATTTTCACAAACATCTGAAAATACTTAAAGGGAAAATACAACATTTGCAAACATCAAAAAATAAAACTACCAAATCATTTTGAAATACCTTGCTGGAAATTTTCAAGAAAAGTGGTATTTTTGTATCAATTTCCAATGCTGATCGGCCGATCAGCGTTGGAAAAAACTGGCTTTTTTTCAAATACTGGCCCCAGTTGACCATCGCACTTGTTTGCAATCGATTACACACCTATGAACGGGTACAAGCCAGCTAGACTGGTTCCCTGACCTTACAATTCCCAATATATGTAAACTGCTCTGTTTCTTCTTAAATGGAGTCAGGGAACCAGACTACAGGAAAATGATTGTTTTTCTTGGTTTTTATAGCATTTTCGAACCCAAAACCTCAAAAAAGTCGGTGTAACTATATTTGCTATACATATTTCCAAGCCCCCAATTCCATCCTTTTCTGAAAATTACAGCAAAAGCAAATGATGTACATGTATTTCCTTTAATTAATACTCATTCTTCAAATTTATTTCTTCATTTTGTATGATTTGTTTTTTTGTGTTGTTTTTTTAATTGGAAAGCACGATGATCATTTGTGTTCGGAATCATACTTAAAAAAGTAGTTGTCCATATTGGACGCACTATTGTTGGACCATAGAGAAAGGACTCTCTAAAATATATGGTTGGACATACCCATACATTGTACACGTGCAGGGCCTTACAGTTATGCAAGTGAACAATAGTGCTAGTGGGTTAGGCCAGTAACAAAAGAATATATCAATATGTGTGGGATGATTAAATGGAGTGGAATCAGGCATTATCTGATCTCAAAAGGGAACAGAAAGTACACAGGTAGATGCACAGGTACCGGTACAGGAAGTGGTTTTTCATTGAAATTCCCAAAATAAGGACTTAGGTAGACACATTTGGGCCAAGTCTGCCTGCCTTGGGTTTCTATTCTTGTAAATGTTTGAGTCATCAAGTTTACAATATGTAAGGCAACCATTATCTGAGGAAACCATATTTTGTCATGGATTTTTTTCGACATTTTTAACTTCATAAAAAATACCTGATGTCATTGTCAGTGTGATTTAATTTGGCCAGTGTGGTACATGAAGTCCAGTGGATCAGACTTTTTCAGTTTTTTTTTAGTTAAAAAGTTGTTCCTTAATGATAAATATTATAGATCTACAACATTCTGAACTGATGTTTTTATTAGATGGAATTTATGTCAGGTACATGTAGTTATAAATATTATATTGGGTTTTGTCCTTCACGGACATATTTTATAAACACTCTAACAGTCATGTTGTCCGACGCCAAGGGCTTGCCAGGAAAAAAAATCACAAGCTCATCCGAAATTCTCATCATATTCACGCATATAATTGGAGTTTAAAAAAAAGCTGAATCTTATCAGGATGATAGCTTCTAGCAGTGATTCCCCCCCCCCCCCCCTGTCAGCTGTGAGGTCTTGATGTTAATCTCCTGATTTTCCCTGAATAAAATTTCTCCCGTTCGCCCGGGGTAAATTTGTTGTAATGTAGGTTTCTCATCTAGAGTAAAGCTCCATTGGTCTTCAAAGCAGACCACTTGGAAAGAACTGGGCCAATAAGACATGTGCAGAGTCTAGGGTTTCAATCATGAATTGAACTCTATTTACATAGAAGAGGAGGATTTTTTTTTTCTCCTTTATATTTCATACACAATGTAGTTTGTCATTCGAGAACTGCCATATTCATGACAGTTGTTCTAATTTTAGAACGTTTAGGACTATCGCTCAACTTTCAGTGAATCAATGTTTGGCTTGTGCTAGAAGCAGCAATATTAGAAAAGAGCTCATTTTGCTGGTGTACATATTATTATTGTAATATAATAAGCCTTCTCTTTATCTGTGAAAAGCATGCATAGTTTGCATACATGTGTATTTGTATACGTGATGTGCCCATATTAAAAAAAGAAATTGGTGAAACTTTGACTGCCATGTTTATTTGCCTATAGATGTTATTAAAGTGACAAAATAGAGGCCTAATTAAACTATGTACTCTGCATAAATTTGTACCGGTAGATGCGTAAATAAATTATAAAAAAGACACCCTTCCCCCCCCCCCCCCCCCAACCAAAAATAGATGTTTGCAGCCTCATTGTTTGTACAATTGGAAGGTCTAATTTCCTGAATCTGTTTTCCGTACCTAGCTACTTCAAATATAAGTTCAGTGTTACTTTCGCTTGATCATTTCCTGGTTTTGTCTCTGTAGATTGCTTCACAAAGTACGTACATGTACATGTACTTTACCCATTTCTACATGCCCGTATCGGTAAAACTCACTTGTCATTTGTCAGAAAAGGTTTTGTAGGTGACACTTGTATACAGAGCTGGAGGCTTATGCGCTTAGCACAAAAAATGGGCTAAAGCACACAAAAAACAGGTCACCAGCTAAAACGGCATGTAAAGTATATTGCCTTTGACTGGCACTTGGCTGCTTTTTCGCTTAGCAAGATTTTCCACTTTATAGCTCCATGATTTTGTGTCAAGGGCCCATTTTATGATGCTGATGAACCCCTCCTTGCTGGCTGACGGCTATAGCAGCTGCCTGGACGCTGTGGATTGGTGTCTGTAGGCAGCTGCTACTGTGCAGTGCTGCTACTGTGCAGTGCTGCTACTGTGCAGTGCTGCTACTGTGCAGTGCTGCTACTGTGCAGTGCTGCTACTGCTGCTACTGCTCCGAGGCTATGTGCATTGATGTGTATACGCCTGTGCAGTGAGGCGTGAAAACCCGGGGGAAAGGGGTTAACAGTTAGCAGAAAAGTTGTACTTACTATGGGTTCTGTTCACAAGTACCCCCGCACCGGCAAGAAAGGAAGAGTTGGGGAGACCATATTCTGGTTCCCCGCCCAAAAGATTCCGACTTGCATTTCTGACTCTTACAAAATAGATCTTTTGGTCTGGGAACCAGACTAGGGAGCCCATCGGGAGAGACATTCGAATGCACCACCGACCCCTGATGCTCACGCGAAGACGCTATGGCTTTGTGCGCATTTAGAATAAAATTAGTAGTACTTCAAGATATATGGGTGTGAACACATGCGGTGTGTCCTGTCCAAGGGATTCTCAAAAGTGGTAAAAGCACCCTCTTTTGTTAGCGCATGGAGCCTACAGCAGAAAATTGTGCTAACCTCAAGCACTATTTCATGGCGTGGATGTGTATGGTTGGAGATTTCTATTGTTACGTCACTGATTTAAGCAACTTGTTTTTCACTGGAGAGGTACATGTACGGTAAGCGTATCTTTTGTGTGCTACTTGTTTATTGTTCTTCGTTTTGTAGACAGACGTTGTTTATAGCAGAAAATCATATGCTTAGCAGCGCTATGAAATTGGGCCCAAGTCTGTGGATGCACCTAGTACATGTACCTGTACACATCCTCCAGTATCCTGCCATGCCAACTGTCTTCCGCTATTTATGGCTGGCCAAGGTGTGAAGAACATTCCAATCCAATTAGTCGGTGTGCTGCACTCTCTCTGAACCAGACAGGTATTACCAGACTATCCCTACATGTAGCTGTACAGGCAGCTAGAATACATTGTCAGTGATATATTCCTTTATTTACCGTAAGAATCTGATTTAAAAATATAGAATAATTTAAGCTGACCAACATTACATGCACATTTTGTACATGTACATGTACATCTACGTTTGTACACAGCTTTTTTTAGACCCATGTGCACAGGGTGAGATTACAATTGGACGACAAACCTTTTCCAACTGATTGCCGTATTTACCCCCCCCCCCCCCCAAAAAAAAAAAAAACATTGATACTGATAGACATCTGATCCCACAGGCAGAAAAAGAAAAACTGACAAATCTGTCAAAATAACAGCCGAGTCCAGTCACAAGGGACTGAAACATGCCTCAAGTGTAGCATTCTCACCACCGGATATCCAGACTTGACTAACCATTATGACTATAGTTTCCATTTCTAAAAAAAACATAATTGAAATCCAAGACAGAAATGAAACCATTTCCTCCCAAAAGGGCCAACAACTCATAAAGAAAAAAAAATTCCATTGAAAGTAGCCATCTGCAATTTGTGCCTCCAAGTCCAACACGTTTCCTTGCTCAATATATCTGTGATATATTTTCCCTTCTGTTGTCTCGCACTTACAATATTTCACGATCAAAATTCACATAGAATCAGTGCCTCCATTAGTCTCTTACAAAGGCTTAAAATTGCTGGGACAGAGA